AAGGGTAGGTGGTATAGTGTGTGTGTGTTGTGTGTGTGTGTGTGTGTGTGTGTGTGTGTGTGTGTGTGTGTGTGTGTATGTATGTGTGTGTGTGCGTGTGTGCGTGTGTGGTGGGTGGAGTGGGGTGTCCCCCGTCCGTGTGCCTCGCGTGTCCCCCGGTCATGCCCCCCCCCACCCCCCCCTCCTCCGTGTTCTTCCCCACCTCTCCACCACCACCACCACCACTACCACTACTACTACCACCACCGCTGCTTGGTCCTTTCGTGGCAGGCGGGATTATGGCTGACAACGGGCTCGAGTCGGGCGGGGTGTACGCTCCAAGTGGCGGGTCGACGACGACAAGCACAGCGGCAGCATCGGTGACGGTCTACCCGGCGCGGTCGCGCGAGAGCGTGCCGTATGGTGCAGGACGACCGGCACGGGTGATCAAGACCCTGCCTGATGGATCGCGCATGTTTGCCGAGCAAGACCCCGGGCTGGTCCTTCATCCACAGGCTGCACAGCTCCGCACCACACACCGCCGCGGCGGCGGCTACCACCGCCAGCTACACACCGCTCGCGGAGCTGGAAGCTCGTTGTGGGAGCGGTACGACGAAGAGTACGACGAAGATAGCATAGATGACTATGGCAGCCCTAACCGTGATCCGCGTCTCCCGACTGTCGATCGCTACGCGCACCCAGATATGTGGCAGGCGTACTTTGCTGCGCGGACCCAGGTCGCCCGCGATCGCGAGCTGCGTCTTGCCGACGCGTCTGCCGCTGTGGCACGCGCCAAGGCTGCAATGGCTGCGGCCGCCGACGCCGACGTCGACAACGAGTTTGGTTATCGCCCCCTTGCCTACAGATCTTCATTAGCATCGACAGCGATCCGCTCGCCGCGCTCCCCTCCGCACCCGCGCTCCCCGCCGCCGCCGTCGTCGCCGTGGCATGCCGGCGTTTACGCCTCGGATCGGGTGCTAGTGGTGGTGAGCCCACCTACACCTGCACGTACATCCGCATTGCTGCACTCGCCACAGTTGGATGCCAGCGGCGGAATGAGCCGTGCCGACTACGCGCGCTCGATCTACGGCAAGACGCCGTCACCGCGGCGACGACGATGATTCGCCGCCACCTGCTCGGTGTACCTCGAGCGTCGCCAGCATCTCGCTGTTACCAGCCTCGCTTGCGAGCTGTACCAGCTTTGGCATCGGCAACCACCGCCGACACTTGGACCCGCGATGGTGGGCGAGGAGCCTCTCCACAATGGCCGTGTGCCCATTGAAGACCGCCACCCTGAGCGGCGCATGGTTCCTCACCGACGGATCGACCTCGGGTTGGGTGAGAAGAAATGTCACGACATCTTTCCGCCCGTTTCCAGCCGCCCATTCAATGGCGGTGTTGCCGTGGACGCTGGCGGTCACGCCGTCGCACGCCAGCAGCTCCTGTGCGGCCTCCAAGTGGCCCTGCGCGCAAGCTGTGGTGAACGGGTCACAGTCGCGGACTGTCGCATCGGCGCCGTTGGCCAGGAGCAACCGTACCAGTTCGACGTTCCCTCTCTTTGTCGAGTTCTGTAGCGCAGCGTTGTTCCGCGCGCTCACGTCGACGCCACCGCTAGCCAACAGCAACCGCACGGTCTCGACGTCACCAAGCCAGGCGGCGCGCCGCAGCGCCTCCGACTCGTCGGCGCCGGGTGCCACACCAGGCTCGTCAAGCATTAGCGCTACAATCGCGCTGTGGCTCCCGTCGACCGCCGCCATTAGCACGTCGTTGACAAGCTCGGCGGTTCGGATGCCCGGGCGCGAGAGCAGCCGCACTACCGCCTCGCGATGGCCGTGCTTTGCGGCCTCTATCGCTGCGACCTGGATTGTTTCCGGCGTAAACTCGCCAGCATCAAGAAGCTTGTCAATCGTGCTGCTCGAGCCGCGCATGCCGCACGCCACAACAAGCGCCTGGCCGCCTTCGACCTCGGCCGAAAGCGTCGGCGACTGCAGCAGCAGCTCGACCACGTCCGAGTGGCCCGACCGGCAGGCAAAGAACAGCGCACTGGCACGATCGGCGGCAGCATCGACGCCGCTCTCGAGAAGCTTCGAGACCACTGCAGCATGTCCAGACTTGGCTGCCGACAAAAGGGCCAGCTCTAAGGTCTTGCCAAAGCTCGCTGTCGGGCAGCTGTCGAGACATGCGCCGACGGCGCTGGCTTGGCCCGCCAGGGCCGCAGACAGCAAGCCCGGCCGGGCGTCGACGTCTGCGGCGAGCAAGACGCGAACCACCGCGACCGCGCCAATCTTGCACGCCTGTTCGAGATGGGCGGTAGTCGGCGTCGTGCCGCTGTCGACAAGCGCGGCTACGAGTCGATCGAGCCGGCCGTCGATGGCCCAGGCGAGGATACCGCGAGTCCGCCGCGGCTGGCCCAGCCGCTGCCGCCACGCCGCCAGCGGGCGACCGTACGCGCCCATCGCAGGCGTCTGCACTCCGATGGCGGCCATCTCCATCGCAAGTGCCATCCATGCGGGATCGTCCTCGTCGGCAGCGGCAAAGATGTCAGCCACAAGGTTGTGGTGCATGAAGAGATCGCCGCCTGTGGTGCCGCACTCTCGGCTCGCCGCGGCAGCCGCAATGTCAGCTAGTGCCCGTCGAGCGCCTCGCCACCACTCTCTCGCTACACACACACTCCATCCGGCCAGATGATGTACGCGGCCAGTGCCAAACTGGTCGCCCATGAGCTGGTCCCGCAGCCTGGTGCAGGTCGTCGCCAGCGCCAGCACATCACCACACTGCAGACCACACTCAAAGGCAATAAGATGTAATAACTCGGCGGGGAGCGCATCCAGCCGAGCTTCATGCGTAGAGGAGCCCAAACCTATGCTATTGAGCATGATACCAACCTGGGTCTCGCACATGACGCGATCTGCAAGTGCGGTGAATCGATGACTCGCACAGCTTCCTCAACTTGCCGCACAACGCGTCGCAAGCAAGTTGCGGCAAATCGGTTGAACGGTCGCAGAGTGACCGACGGTGACTGGCAGGGACTGGTACCGCCGCCACGACCAACAACAGCGGCACACGGGCAGGCACTGCTGCCGACAGACCTTACTCTCACCTTGCGCCCGCGGACATGGACGACGACTTTCCCCGAGTAGGTGTCTCCAACCCCTTCCTCCTCCTCCTCCTCCTCCTCCTCCTTACCCCCTGCACACTCACCCCCCCCCCCCCCCCCCCCCCCTCCCCTGTCACAGGCCCGTGCAAAGTGGGAGTTTGTGGCGTCGGGCGACAACCAGCTCTCGTTTCCCAAGGATGCGGTGCTGACGGTACTGGACCAGGTCTCGTACGGTGATTGGTGGCTGTGCGAGGACAAGGATGGCGACGAGGGCATTGTGCCGTCAAACTATCTGGAAATCGTGCCGAGGGTCCTCTCTACCGCAGAGAGGCTCGAAGCCGAGGCCGAGAAAGCCAAGGCCGCAGAGAGTGCTGTGGGCGGAGGTACGTCGGTCAAGGACCGCAAGGCTTTTCTTCTCAAGGCGCTGCCGGTCGGCATGGGCGGCGGAAACACCGCCGCCCGCAAGGATCCGTCAAAGACATCACGCAAGCTCGAGCACAAGACGCTGGACAGGCCCATCGCGCCTCGCGCCGGTCGCCGGCCGCGCCGCACCGCGCGCCGTACCGCGGCTGCTGCCCAGCCGGCCGCTAGCCCGACGTCTGCGACCGCCGGCAGCGGCTCGACCCGCCGGCGCCGCCACCGCCGTTCACACGCCACTGGCGACACCGCAAGCCCGACAGGAGCCGCACCGGAGACCGGAGCTAACACAGCAGAGCTTGAGCGCCTGCGCGCCGAGCTTGCTGCGCTCCGTGCCTCGTCCCGGCGCAAGGACTCGCGCAACGCGCAGATCGACATTGAGCTCGCCAATGCCAAGGAGGCGCTGGTTGCCAAAGACGAGGAGCTGGCCAAGCTCCGGACGCAGCTTGCAGACGAAAAGGACATCTCCGAATCGCTTGAAGAAGAGTTGGCCGAGGTGCGTGCCGAGGTCAAGGCTGCGTCGGCAGCGTCGGCCGCGTCTGCGGCGTCTGCTCAGTCGGCCGACGCTGCCAAGGTTCGCGAGCTCGAGAACGCCCTGGCCGCTGCCAAGACCAAGGCTGCCGCCGCCGTCGAGAAGCACCGCGCCGAGATTGCCGCCCTCGAGAGCCGCCTCCGCGAAGAGGCCGCTGCCGCCTCGGCCGCCGCCGCTGCCTCGGCCGCCGCCGCCTCTGGCGACGATGCCGGCCTCCGCGTTGCCCTCGAGACTGAGACTGCCAAAGCGCCGCGCTGCAGAGGACGACTATGCCTCGCTTCATGCCAAGTTGGCCAAGGTCCAGCGCCGCCTCAAGAAGGAGTCGGCGTCCAAGGAGCGGATGGAGGACTCCATCAAGAAGCTCGAGGCAGAGCTCCGCCTCTTCAAGTCCAAGCTCTCCCAGCTCCTGGGCCTCATTGAGCAGCGCAAGGCGCTCAAGACCAAGGCCACTGCATAGTCAGTGTGCTCTGCTGCGAATACATCACTTTCCTACCGCCCCCCCCCCC